AACGACATACAAATGCATTACATACAGAACTAAGCTTTATATATTAGATATATATATATATTGTGTATACACAGAAATACGTTAAGGAAAATTAATTTACAACTTTTAATATATGTATTAATAATAACTCTAATTATTACAATTATTACATAATATCTATAAATGTAGTGTAAGGTAGGTTTTAAAATGTACCAAAAATATCTTGCTGTTTTTGGCCAAAAACAAATCATCATACATTTTCTTAAATTTTTGCCAATTCCTTACTTACTTACTTAATCCTCATCACTCCCTGTGGAGTATAGGGCAACAACAAATCTCCGCCATTCCACCCTGTCCTGGGCGAGCCACTTTAGTTCATGCCAGGTTTTGCCAGTAGCCTGTACTTCTTCTTCCATCTCCCTCCTCCATGTTCCCAGTGGTCTTCCTCTACTTCTCTTTCCGGGTGGGTTCTACTTCAGCGCCATGTTGGGGAGTCTTTTTTTGCTCATGCGTAGGACATGGCCCAGCCATCTCCATCTCCTCGTTCCAACTTCTGAGACAATGTCGTTTAATCCTGTCCTTCGCCATATTTCCTTGTTCGGGACTTTGTCGTCCCACTTTATCCTGAGGATGCGTTGGAGGGATCTTCTTTCAGAGCCTCTGAGTCGGCTGTCTATTTGCCAATTCCACATGTAATCAAATAATTTGGTTTCTTAATGATGATTATAACATAATACATATCATATTTAGTGCATTTATTTTTGCTGCCGTTGTTCTACAGTGTACACAGCTACAAGTCTCAATTCTGCCGGAAGTGTACTACTACTTCGGTCTCATTTTTATTTCGCAACTGTCAAGACTATTTACCATTGTAGTTACGCCATACCAGATAACGCCCACACCGAAACGTGTGTCTCCCCACAGCCCATTTAGATTGGTCATGTGACATTGTGAGTACCACCAGGCTCCGTGGAAGTCCACAGCACACTGTTGACTGTTGCCCATGCTTGCATCGTAGGTACTAAACATTTGGTTGTTGTTGTATAACACTATAGAGTTCCCAGCGGTGCCAGAATAGCCAGTCACAGACAATTTGTAACCCAGACTTTCATTCAAGAAGTCGAAAGTTGAATAAGATGCGTAATAATTATATCGTCTGTACGTCATATCAAATCTTAAAACATGCTTCTCTTTTGAAGTGAGACAGTAAATGTTTTCATTGCCCAGATAAAAATTGCCGATATCATAGTCCCCAAAGCCGTCCCTGTAGGTTGTCCAGTTGCGGTAAAAGTCCACAAGTCCGGAGATTCGACGTTGAAAAATTGTCCACCCGCCCCCGTCTGTGGCTGTGTCACACATGACGATAAGACCAGACGGTAGTTGTAAAAGCTGTCTTGGGTTCGTTGTGTTCCTTAAATCATTGCACGATTTGTACACGTTCTGTGTGTTTGGGATGTAGCTGTTTGCACTGGCTACCTGGATGCTACCTGTTTTAAGATTTAGGAATGTGTTTCATGTATAATTATGTTTGAATGTCATCGAGTTTCTATTACATATTTTAAATGTTTATAAAAGATATGGAAACCTTTTCTTGTGTCTTTTAAGAACGTCAGATCTCGTAATAACAATATACCTGATTAAAAGTTCAAAATAGGAAAGAAGTACTAGCACTATACTCTATACTGATCCATTTTACGTCTTCTAATGTTGCGTTTACGGAAGTTCTACTTTAGCTAAACTATAGACTTTTAATTAAACTAAATCGATTATTAGAAATTATATGCATATATGTGTATATATATATATATATATATATATATATATATATATATATATATATATATATATATATATATATATATATATATACATATATACATATATACATATATATGTGTGTGTGTGGTATGTGTGTGTATATCTGTATGCTATGCGTGTGTGTGCATTATACATTGGCAAGGAATGTTTCTTATTTCACAATCACTGGAAATTACTAGTTTGTCAAACAAAAGAATTTGTTTTGCTTCATATTTTGATTACAAATAAACCAGTTCTACCTTTGCATGCAGCAGTGTTACAAGAACCCATCCTGCCATTGTAGATGGGTGTAACAGCCTCCCTCACATCACACGACTTGCCTCTAGTGTAGATGGTAGAGCTACTCTTCAGGTCACTGGTCGACTGGTTGATGGCCCGTGTCGGGAGGATCCAGTGTCCTAGAGCCCAAAATTGAAATTAAAAACATATAGACAACTTGTAATGTGGTAGGGCTCTCTAAGGCTATAAAATAATGTGGTTCTCTGTTCGCATAAATATATCCCTAATTTGTTTCAGCCTCACTTGCGAAAGGAAACATTGATTGAACCTAGACAATACCTTATTGTGTTTATATCAAAACAAATGTATAACATGCATTGAACTGTACATGCACACGAAGAACCTGAACATTATCATAAACGTTTTCATGGGGATACTGGCAAAGTAAATTCTAAACCATATGAGATTCTATAAAACCATCTCTATATAGTAGCAAACACATCTCAATGCAAGTAAAGTAACTTAATCATATCAGCTAAATTCATTTATTCATTTATTTATTTATTAATTTGTTCAATACTATTCAACAATAGTAGGCATTGAGGCCTTTTTTTCAAATTGGCCGTTTTAAAATAAACGAGTTTTCTGATATTTAAAATAAATAATTGATACTTGAATAATCCTAATGAAAATGTTAAATTGCAAAATCAAACTTTAAATTAATGTATTTTTTTTTTATTTTAACTATGCGTAGAAATCTTACCCAGACTACAGACTTGAGTCGACTCGTCATAAATAAAATTGTAGCACTCGTTGGTGCTCGTACTACATTTAGCAGCACAGTGCACGTGACTCTCAGCGTAGTGCTGCTCGTCCAGTGGTAACATCATCTTCTGCTCAGTGCTGATCAGATGGTAGTCGTGGTTGATGACTTCACTGTAGGATACCACAACTGCGAAAAGCACATACCGATGTTATTTATGGATGACAATATTCAAAATTTGATAAATCATATAAAGATAATTATTGCTTTTGATGGGACATACCTTGATAAAAAACCATAAATGTCCCAATTAAATAATCCATGTTTCTATTACGTTGCTTAGTTTTAAGAACCCTAACAGGCGTATTTTTGCTATCGCAACAGAACACGGATGAAGCTCAAATACGATGTAATTGAATGTTGGGCTATCCTTTTAATCATCAGTTATATCAGCCAATCAAATACAAGCTCTTATACGTGCCTGGAGTAAGTAAGTACAATGACACTCCTGTTTATTATTCTTCAGAAAGTTTTAGATGTTGAGGGAATGTATTTTATTTGATGGCATTAGTGTTATGTTTGAGATGTTGAGCAAGGGACTTTTGTTTCGTGCAAATGGTGTTGTCTTAGATCTTTGCTCAACACTCATCAAAGTTGTGTATCTACCGTAAGCAAATTCTCGATCCAAACTCCACACATGAGCTGTCTACCCTTATCTAATATGCGCACATTATAAATTTTAAAGTTGTTTACCTTTATATCGGACGCCGCAGCATCCTATTTTCTCAGACCTTTTGTTAAAATATTGACTGTAAATCTGCTCCGTGTGTTAAAGGGTTGAATACAGACAAACCTTGACAAACATAGTTTTATTTTTTTTATCTCAGCTGCTCAACGGTGTATGCGATTTATTCTTATTGTATCTTTTTGACATGCATCGGTTGCTAAAGCGAAAACATACAATAACAAAGTGGTCAGCGGAACAAGCCTGCCTGTAAATATTTTAAAATTTAGAGATAGTGAACAAATATATTAAATCCTTCCGAATAAAGTAATCGTACTTTCTTCGCGACTCTTTAGCTTTGCAGTTTCTTTGCTTATATAAGAGGATAAACCCACTGTACTTGATTAGGTTGCAGCCCTTATGCAGTTAAAACTTACAATTACTAAAAACTTTTTTTTTAATTTTTTTCTCTATTATAATTACAAAAAAAATTTGATTTAATTTATTTTGTTACTAGTATTAATTTTAAATATTCTTCTCTGAAAGAAAAAAACATTATATTGTTTTTGAACTGACAAATTTCAAAAGAAAATAGAAGAGTTAAAAAAAAAGCTAAATACAAATAGGAAAATGAGGCAATAAAAATAATAGTTTTAGGATACGAACCCGAAGACCCATTCACATTTTAGTAAAAAAATTGCGTGTTTTAAACATTCTTGTTGTATAGCTACGGTTACTTTGTTTTATGCAGTATAATTTATTATACCTTTTAGGTTAAAGGAGTAATTTTGTTTTAATTTTTACGTTATCAAATCAAAAGATTAAGTTTAATACATCTTTTGATGCTTTGTTAACTTTAACAAATTCATTTTATTCACAATTATTACGCGTAAAAAAATGTAAAAACCGTATTGACAGTCAATAAAAAAAGTTCAAATCAACTAAAATTATCGTACATACTATTAAAATTTTGCTGTGAGATATTTTGTCTGAGATATTTTGTCTGAAATCATTTGTCCATGATATTATTTGTCCTGATATATTTTTTCCTGGTATCTTTTGTCTGTGAGATCATTTGTCCTTGAGATCATTTGTCCGTGAGATAGTTTGTCTGAGATCATTTGTCCTGAGATCATTTGTCATGGAACCACATATATATATATATATATATATATATATATATATATATATATATATATATATATATATATATATATATATATATATATATATATAAATCACTGACAGAATGTTTTTGATATTTGAGCTTCAATAACAGAAGTGTGAACAAATTTGATTTATTGCCTGTTGTACATATAGATACGTGTATGTGTCAACAATATGACACTGAAATCAAGCACGCATGCAGTAAGTCTATATTTCCCACAAACCACACCAGAACGGAATTGTAATGTTACTATCAGAGTTACAAATACAACAATGAAATCAGAACTGAATCGTGACGAATGATGAATAGTTATTGATGAAATTCTCACTATGCCCATTATTCATCAACTAGGTATGTCAGTTCACAGAAAAAAATGTGTGATGATATAGAATGTATATAGAAATCACATACTTTTACCAGTGTCCATACCCCCCCTCCCCCCGGAAAATTTCAAGTTCCACCCCCAACCCAGGAGAAAAAAGTTTGAAAGAAACACTGCATATAAATCATTATTCTATATTTGAACTGAAGTTTTGCTTTTATAACTTAAACCGATGAGGTCACACGGATACTTCACTTTTGTTTTGGTAACTGGCAGTCCCAGTCGCCTTTGTTACCAGTACAATGAAATCTACTCACCTCGCCGGGTTAACTATAGACACCTGTGGACTGCTTTACTGTTTGATGTCACCTTTTTTTTTTTTACCTTTAACTAACAGTTTTGTGTATTTCTGAACATTTGTGTAACGTTCTTTAAAGAAATTCAAAAATAGAAGTTTGTTGTTTTACTTTTTGGGTACTTTATTTCTCTTTAAAATCCTTGAAGAAATCTCCTAAACATCAGACCCAGACAGACCGTAAACAAAAACAAAACTTACAAAGTTAGTGTTTACCTGCTACCTGCCCCTCTCATGATAATCCCCTCTACCTGAGGGATTAAGCCTCCTTTCAGGGCAGTAAAGCGTGCCTACAAAAGTTTATCTAGTGTCGTTTCTCGTGGTTGAGTCAAATAATGGCTACACCTTGCTATTGTTTTTTATGCTACTTAAGCTCCAGTTTTTTGTACCGGCAACACTTTAAAACAAGTGACTGCCTTGGTTTTGTTTCGATTCTTTACATACTCATTCATTATATTATAGATCGAAGAATTATTTTTGTTGTTGTATAAAATGCGAATAGAATTCAAATTACTTTTTCTTTTAATTTCTGCAGTTTTAGGTAAGTGTGAAACTTATTTATGTTATGATAAAGAACGTCATTATTAAAGTTTAATGATTGCGTTATATTCGGGGTTGTAAGATCACAAGAGCTTGTACATTGATACAATTCTGTTTAACCACCTGATTTATAGTATTTGAGTCGACGGTGTTGTGTACTAAGGGCACACCGCTACTGACACTTGAGGTTTTAGTTCGGTTCCATGGCTCCAGAATTATCTCTACTTCACACTATTCTAATGTGCAGGACTTGAGTCAGGGCATGTATTGTCTATGGTGCTGAACACACGATGTATTTATTGAAATTAAAAAAACAACTGATGAGCTCTACTTCATCTGTCACAAGACTATCAAATATAAAAAGAAGATAACACTTCGAATACATGTATGTCATGATAGTAAACGATTTAAGTAGGGGCTACTGAACCTACTTTTCATCAACTTTTTTTTTCTAATTTTAGAAGTCTATGTTAGATTGCTTGGCCTTTTTTGTATAGATACTTTTTTTTTAACTTATCCTAAAGTCCCATCGACAAGATGTGACAGAGATACACAGAACAGTGGCGGACTTTTCGGCGGAGGTGGACTTTTCGGCGGTGGTGGTAGTAGCGGACTTTTCGGCGGAGGTGGTAGTAGCGGACTTTTCGGCGGAGGTAGTAGTGGCGGTGGCTTGTTTCAGACGCTGATACTACTCAGACTCCTCTCCAGCGTAACCGGCACCACCGCCACCACTACTGCTACTCTCACGACGCCCCTGCCTGCAGTGGCGGCACCCAATGTTGTGAGACTCAGCACCACGGGCGAGATCTTAGCCTTAAATGGAGCATCTGCCGAGCTCCTGGACGCAGTAAATAATTCCATTGTAGTCGGTTATCAGCAGGTCGCGATTGATCCCATAACTGGTAAACAAATCTTATAAGACCATTATAAAATGAAATAAATTAATTTAATTTGACATTTAAATTTTAAAACTATTTTAAAAGAACTATTTTGTAAGAGATGTCTAATTCGATTGTTTTTAGAGATGATGGTTTACTCAAATTTTAAAAAGACATGTCGCTTAAATCTGTTTATAAAAAAAAAATTTTGTTGTTAAAGATAGTTTTATACAGTTTCTAAGGTAGGGATTTCAAATTTGATACTTTTTATAACCTAAAAGCTAAATTTAAATCTGGCAAGTTTAAAATAGATATATTTCACAATAAAGATTTACTACCTACAAATTTTATGAACAAGAAAACTGTCAGAAAAAATATTCTTCAGGTTTTCTTTACGACACAACAACAAACCACGTCCTTGTGTTTTTAAACCCCTTGACAAACACGTACGTGCAGGCAATAGCTACACCTACACCCTCAGGTAAGGCTCGCTACGGCATTTGTTGATTTACCTCAGGTGAGGTACATTTTATTACATGGAGCTAAGATCATTTTGCTTGTGGTATCGATACATTTTGGTTTAGATTGTGATGTATAACTTGATTTTTTGATACATAGCTTAAAGTTTTTAAATACGATCGGTCATGGTATAACCCCCAATGTTATTTGCTTATATAGGTTAGTTGCTGATTTTTAAACTAGCATATTAAATATAAGAAAATAATGTTTATTACTTTAAAAATGTCTTTCATTTAAAATGCAAAAAGTCTTGTGCTGTATTGTGTTTAATTGTTCCGTAATGTTTTATAATGTATTACAATGTGTTGTCTTGTTATGTGTTGTGGTGTTTTATGATGTATCTTGATGTGTTGTGTTACAGGTCGAAGCCTAGTTGGCACTAGACCGATTGGTTCCAGAGCTTTGTATGTGGGAGGTGTTCAATCGCCGTCAGTTGGTGAGTGCTATAAATGTTTCCTGGTCATTGTAATTTTTTGTGAGTTTTAGAACAAAGTTCAGATACATTATATTTCAGTTTTGTATGTAAAACTATATTGCGTGATGAATATTACGAAATTCAACACAAAAAAAGGAAGAAAAAAAAAACTGCATGGTGATAAAAGATTTTACTAATGTTTACGCATGGTACAGGTGCAAATGTTGGAGGTAAAGACATCAACGTCATCTTTGTATCGCCTCAAGGTGGCGGTTCGCCATCTAAATCTGTAGTACAGTGTAAGTTGAACATTTTCTCACAACCTCAACCGAGCTTATTATGACAGTTATTGAGAGGTAGCTATCTATCATATTTTTAATAACTATGTTAATTGTAATTCAAAATCCAGCGCTGATCTGAAAGATCTTTTATTGCTAAATAAATATAATATGAACTAAAGATTTATTAAAGCACTCGTATCAAAGCTGTACAGCAAAACGGTGATTGTTCCACATACTAAACAATTCTCTATTGAAGATTTTAAAATTATGATAGGTACCAGTAATGACATGGACGATAGACTCCTGAAAATGCTCCTGGCTATGAGATCACCCGGCAACACGCCACCTGCCAACCTAAGGTATCAGAACGGGATTTTTACAGCGGTTTCCAATGGAGCGAGAGTCAGTACATTGTTTGATTCCAACAATAGACCCGTGCTAGAAGCTAACCTGGCGGTCGATCCTATCACAGGTAAATTCCTTTCCTCACCTTCTCAGTTTCTTTATGAACCACTTCCTGTTTCTTTATTTCATAAAGTCGAGTTAGGATGTTAAATACTGATACCGATTTGACCCTCGACAGGTGCTGTGTACGACACTACGACAAACTCTGTGGTCTACTTCACTGACCCATCAACAAACATAAGGATGCAGGCTTTTGTATACATCCCACTCTTTGGTTAGTGTTTTTAAGTTGCTGGCTCATTTTTGTTTACATTCCACTCTTCGGTTAGTGTTTTTAAGCTGTTGGTTCATTTATATTTACATTAGTTTATGGAGATGTCCCATGTGGTTTGCATTCATAGAGATTTTGTGTTCATTTTAAAAAGAATACAAATGAGTATGGTTGTCTCTAAATTAAACCATGTGTATGATATAAGTTGACACTAAGTTGTTCTAAATGAACTGCTAGCAATGTGCTTTCTGTTTTACATTAAAGACCTTCAACAATCAAATCGATATTTAAAGATCTGCAGTTTTATTATTTTCTTGTTAAATTGTCACTAGAAATTTCATTGCAATTAAATAATAATTTTCCACCCCTTATAAAAGCAGTATTTACCCTCTATTTATTTCAACACTGCAAAATTGTTGATCATTAAATAAATGATTACTTTATTTAAAAGATTACACTGTTTTACTAAACAAGGGCATTTGCAACATGTATTTATGTTCACTAAATTGTATGTCCCGATGTTAAACAAAAATTCATTCATCAAGCAGGTACTGGTGGGTCAACGGGTACCGCAACTGGAACTACCGGTGGTATTTTCGGAAGGAGCCTGCCCTTAGGATCACAAAGAAGAAACACAGATGAGTCAGACCAACCTTCCACTACAGCCAGACCAGACTTCAGCGGATAATGTTTATACATATGTTTTACAAGCAGCATACAATCTTATATAGGATATGATTATTATAGACGTAATAAATTTTTGAATCAAGTCTGTGCTTATTTCATATGCATCTTAATCGTACTGTCTATACATTGTGATGTGCTGTTATAGTATTAAAAATGTACGTTATACACTTTATTCCATGTCGTTCTCTCCACGCCTTACTAGTTAATTAAATGTTACCCACAGTCATACCAGGACTCATCGAGGCCTAGATATACACGTTGCCAGATATTGTTTTAAGATAGTTCTCCCCGGGGGCATTGGCCCCCTTCGAGCACACCCACCGCCCCCCCCCCCCACACACACACGAAAACAGAAATGTATATATAATATATACTATTTATATAAAAATACATTCTTTAACTAGTCCGCCCCATACCTGTAGAAATACACTGAAAGAAACCCTGCACGCTTCACCAAACCATTTTACAGTAACAAAATCTCAGGAAACACATGCAAATGATCTTTAAGATAATGGGCTGGCATTTGGATAATCTCTTACACAGATCTGAATGTCTGATTTCTTGCTTGTACGGAATATTCCAGACGCTAACTAATTCTTTTAGGCGTATTTGTTAGTGAAATATAAGTGATACAGTAGGACATTAATACAGTAGAAGATTGATAAAGTAGGACATTGATAACGTAGAACATTGATAAAGTAGAACATTGATAAAGTAGAGCATTGATAAAATAGGACATTGATAAAATAGGACATTGATAAAGTAGGACATTGATAAAGTAGAACATTGATAAAGTAGGACTTTGATAAAGTAGGACTTTGATAAAGTAGAAGATTGATAAAGTAGGACATTGATAAAGTAGAACATTGATAAAGTACAACATTGATAAAGTAGAGCATTGATAAAATAGGACATTGTTAAAGTAGAACATTGATAAAGTAGAACAGAGATAAAGTAGAACACGGATAAAGTAGAACATTGATAAAGTATAACAATGATAAAGTAGAACATTAATAAAGTAGAACATTAATAAAGTAGAACATTGATAAAGTAGAACATTGATAAAGTAGAACATTGATAAAGTAGAACATTGATAAAGTAGAACATTGCTAAAGTAGAACATTGATAAAGTAGAACATTGATAAAGTAGAACATTGATAAAGTAGAATATTGATAAAGTAGAACATTGATAAAGTAGAACATTGATAAAGTAGAAAAGTAATACCTGTAAAGAGGAGATGGAAAATCTTAGAAGAACAATCTCCCCCTCCCCCACCCCCAAAAAATGTGACAAACGCGGATACATTTTAGGACTACACTGATAGAAGGACCTCAAGGACAGTGGAGGTGGTTATCTGGAGGACCAGAGGCGTCGCGAGGTGGGGACGGGGGGCGGGGTGCGCACCGCACCGGGTGACAACTTTCAGGGAGGGTGACACCAAGACAAAAAAATACAAGATATATAGAATAAATATGTTTTTTGCCATTTCACTGAATTGTTAAATAGAGTTAAAACGTATTTTTAGTACATAATGAAGATCCCGACAAGGGAAGGGAGGGTGGTGGCACCATGACGTAAAGATGAAAACTATAGAGAAAACAATGCTACACTCTGCTGTATTAACAACCGATTATAGATAAACATCATCTATATACTACTAAAACTCAAGTTTGTTTACATGTTTGAATATATATTTTTTTGTTTGTTTGTTTGTTTTTTTCTTTGTCTGATTGACTATTGTACATGGTTGCACTCATCGTGGAGAGCTGTAAAATAGTATGTAGGTAGAGAATATTTTTTTATTTGCAGACAGACTGTTAATCACAAATTTATTTAAAGACGTTAATTAATGTATTGATTTTGTCATAGGTAGATTAACCACAATTTTTTAAAAAGATTCGAAAAACCACTACACTCGACGGAAACAGTGACGTCACATGATGTGTTTATTTTTTTACATCAATAATGGCGGCCTATTGAAGAAGATTGTGTTCCCATTCCAATGTTTAACGCGTTCTAAAGCTAATTTTCTGTCGGCTTTAACTTTAACAATACGTCCGTTTGCTGTATTTATTACGTTCCAACACTTATATCAATTTTCAACTGTCTTTTTCATTTAGTTTTACGATAAATTTCTCTAGATCTACAATCTGTCCAAGAAAGTAATTTATAGATCTAGATCTAGAATCTAGATCTAGATCTAGGTCAAATCAAAGATTTAATAGTTATAAATAAATACAATCCAAAAAAAACGAGACTTAAGCAAACCACTCGTAGATCTAGAATATAGATAATTCTATCTAGATTTAGATCTAGATAATAATGAGTTTCTATATACTAAACTATTTTAAACCTTTATTATTTTATATAAATCTTTGTTTGGAATATGGTAATTTTGAAATGCTCGCTCCGGGCCTATGAGCGTAGCTAATGATTAGATCTAGATTCTAGATCTAGCAAGAAAAACTAAACTTAAGACTTAAGCAAACGAGTCGTAGAATCTAGATCAAGATAATTCTATCTAGATCTAGATTTTTTTTTCTAGATAATTTCAGACCTTCTTTATTTTATATAAATCTTTGTTTGGCTAATTTAAGATAAAATTTAATTTGAAAGTTGCTGCTACTAGACTTAGTTCTAGATCTATGCGCGTAAATCAAGTTGGATAAGGAGACTCAAAGTATAGTATAAAAATTCATTTGTGACGTCACGAGTAAATAGCTAAGTTGGTAGCGTAGTCCGCTCTCATGCGGGTGGCACTGGTTATATACCAATATGTCAATGATATAATTTTTTCAATTTTTTTTTTAGATGTGAATGATAAAGTTGTCTATCTGAACTTGGCAGGATACAGGGCAGGTGAAGTAGAGTTCATCTGTTTCTTTGTCCTAAGCATATGAAAGGATAGTGTGGTCAGAGACATGCTCGGCTGGAATCGTTTTTTAAACGATAAAAACATTTTGTCTGAGACTTGGCGGGACATTGGGCAGGTGAAGTAGAGTTGAGTAGGTCACCTGTGACGTCAGTATATGAAGGGATAGTCCGAAATCGGTGTTTTTGGTGTTTTTAAAAGATAAGAAACATATTTTTGAATGTGTGGTCTTTTTCTGTGACGATAAGTGACACTGCAGTAGCGTAGCGAGGAGGGGGGGGGGGGGGCGCGGGAGGGGAGGTGGGGGGGGGGGGGAGGCGGGGGGAGGGGAAGGGGGGGCGGGGGGCGACATGTTGGGGCGTCAAAATGGTTTGGAAAAATAAATTGAAAGTTTGAGGGGGGGTTCAAATCGAAAGTTTGAGTGGGGGGTGCACATCAAAAGTTCGAGGGGGGGTTGAAAATCGAAATCTGGGGGGGGGGGGGGGTTGCAAATTGAAATCCTGTGGGGGGGGGGGGGTAGGGTTTCAAATCGAAAAGTTTGTCCCCGGGCGCCGGGAAGGGTCGCTATGCCTCTGAGTGACAGACGTGATGTTTTTTGATGGATGACCCCCCGAAACCCACAGTTATCCAACGGATGACGGGTATTCTAGTTTTATATAAATCTTTGTTTGGCTAATTTAAGCTAAAATTTAATTTGAAAGTTACTACTACTAGACTTAGATCTAGATCTATGCGCGTAAATCAAGTTGCATAAGGAGACTCAAAGTATCAATGTATAGTATAAAAATTCATCTCTGACGTCACGAGTAAATAGCTAAGATGATAGTGTAATCGGCTGTCATGCGGGTGGCACAGGTTCTAGACCAACAGGTCAAAGCTAATTTTTTTTTTATTATTATTTTTATTTTTTAGATGTGAATGATAAAGTTGCCTATCTGAACTTGGCAGGATACAGGGCAGGTGAAGTAGAGTTCATCTGTTTCTTTGTCCTAAGCATATGAAGGGATAGTGTGGTCAGAGACATGCTCGGCTGGAATCGTTTTTTAAACAATAAAAGCATGTTGTCTGAGACTTGGCGGAACACTGGACAGGTGAAGTAGAGTTGAGTAGGTCACATGTGACGTCAGTATATGAAGGGATAGTCCGAAATCGGTGTTTTCGGTGTTTTTAAAAGATAAAAAAAACATATTTTTGAATGTGGGGTCTGTTTTTTGTGACGATAAGTGACACTGCAGTAGCGTAGCAGGGGGGGGGGACGACACATATGTCCCCGGGCGCCGACCTTAGGGGGCGCCAAAATGGGTTGGAAAAATAAATTGAAAAGTTGAGGGGGGTGCAAATCGAAAGTTTGAGGGGGGGGGGTTGCAAATCGAAATCTTGAGGGGGGGGGGGGGGGTGCACATCAAAAGTTTGAGGAGGGGGTGGGTGCAAATCGAAATCTTGCGTGGGGGGGGGCGTTCAAATCGAAAAGTTTGTCCCCGGGCGCCGGGAAGGGTCGCTACGCCTCTGATTGACAGACGTGATGTTTTTTGATGGGTGACCCCCGAAACCCACAGTTTTCCAACGGATGACGGGTAGTCTAGTTAGTATTAAATGTGAACACTGTAAAGCTTTTACCTGTGTGTGTGTGGGGGGGAATATGGCACCAAATGAATTATATTTACAGAGAAGAAAAAAAAGGGAGGGGTGACATCATGAGGTGCCGCACCGGGTGACACCCAACCTAGCGACGCCACTGTGGAGGACCATATTGATAGGACATTGACACATCTGAAGATTTTTTTTTAAATACTAACTGGAAACAAATATTAGGCTGCTAAGTATCAAGTTCAAGATGCTAGATAAAACAAGGCACTCCAAATTTTAATAAAACAAATATAAAATCCTTTATAACAACATTTTAAATACACTGAAAATAAGGAAAAAAATATTTAACTTTATTTAGTAAAAAACTTTTGTCGCCAGAATTTGTCAGAGATCGCATGATCTCTAAAATTAAGTTATCTGCCCTTAAGTAGTTGTTGGTAAACAGGTAAGAAATTAGACGACCGTGACAACAATTCTACAACGACGGCCCTATGATTGGTAATATTTTATTTTGTTATCTCCCCTTTTATCGTTGAATTTAATAATCTTTAATTAATTTTTAATGACTAACTAAATGACTTTAAAAAATAGATATATTTGTATTGTCATCGAAGAAGTACGTATGTAGAAAGTTCGAACGAAATCAATGGCTGCATTAGAAGTGGGGTCAAAAATCGAATTCTGATTAGCCACAAATCCACAAAAAGCAAACAAACAAACACTCGTTGCAAGCTAAAACAAAACCTTGTAAAAAACAGTAGAATTCCTCGATGGTTTGTTGTTTCAAAACGTTATTCTAGCGTCTTAAAACCTGCCGGAACCATTTATTGAACGGAAGAAAGCTTTCGTAGAGGGTTAGTTCATAAATATGTAACGCCAATTTTTTGCCTACCCCCCTCCCCACCATGGTCACAAAAATCCCTTACCCCCACCCCTCACCCCCCCCCCCCCCCACTAACAAAACCAAGTCCCAAATATCTGCCCTCCAACTGTACAACGTAATTTACCTGAATTTTTTTTTCTTTCTTTTAGACCATACAAAATAAATGCGTGGCTGCCTATTCAAGAACACGACCATCCTATCCTCACACGTAGTGACCAACGTTTAAACCCCTTCCACCCTCATCCCAATCCCGCAGATACCCCTATAAAGTGTGCTGGCATTTATTAACCACCCCCCCCCCCCCCACCCCCCCACAAAATATAGAGGACCATCTGGTAAAGATAATTTTTATTTGTGTGTGCACATGTTCAAAAGCAGTGGTTTAAAACTGGGACTGTGTCTTTGTTTACTAATATTTGTTTTACGACCTTTGAACCTGCACCCACACTTTGCTGTTGTCCTTTAACGAGTTTTAACTAAACCAAACGAGAACAGTTCACTGCTAACAACAAATACATTAAAACTAACTGAAAACATTTGTTCTACAAATAAGTCTCAACCTTGACTGGTTAGAATAATTTTTTTAGCGCAATTTCCATTCTGGAGAATTGCGTTTATTAACCCGTCATTTCTGGATGGATGAATGGATGAATGTGTGTCCGCAGCTTTAAGTCGTATCTCCTCCTCAACGAAGCAATATCGATGACTAGTTCCAAAAGCAATTATGTTAAGCAAGTTACGAGGATGAACATAGGCCATAAAAATTACGGGTTTCTTTCATGGATTTCCCGAAAAAGCCAAAAAAAACCTCGAAAAAATGCAATTTTTTGCCCATATCTCGGCAACCAGACCAATTAGCGACTTGAAACATGTACCAATCGATTCCTGCCATAATTTAGAACAATATTGCCGAAGAAAGTTTTCAAAAATATCCTTTCGTTCGGTCACAACAAAATTTTTTAATTAATTAAAATTTGGACCGAATTAGTAGGCATTTTTATCCAACTACACCACACGCGTCATCACGTTCAATAGCTGCGCCGTCACGTTCAATGGCTGCGTCATCACGTTCAGTAGCTAGGCGCACAATGGTTTTTAGTCATGTAACTCTATTGTAAATAAAACATGTATTTTAACCAATGGTTTTACTAACACTGCTCTTGATTTACGCTACGACAGAGCTATTTTTAGATAACACTAGAATACCCGTCATCCCTTGGATAACTGTGGGTTTCGGGGGTCATCCATCAAAAAACATCACGTCTGTCACTCAGAGGCATAGCGAGCCTTCCCGGCGCCCGGGGACAAACTTTTCGATTTTAACCCCCCCCCCCCCCCCCAAGATTTCGATTTTCAACCCCCCCCCCCCCTCAAACTTTTGATGTGCACCCCCTCCCCCCCCCCCCACTCAAACGTTCGATTTGAACCCCCCTCAACCTTTCAATTTATTTTTCCAAACCATTTTGGCGCCCCAACATACGTCACCCCGCCCCCCCCCCCTTCACCTCCCCCCGCCTCCCCTTCCCCCCCCCCCCCGCCTCCCCCCCCCCCCCCCCGCCTCCCCACCCGCCCCCCCCCCCTCCTCGCTACGCTACTGCAGTGTCACTTATCGTCACAAAAACAGAGCCCACATTCAAAAATATGTTTCTTATCTTTTAAAAACACCGAAAACACCGATTTCGGACTATCCCTTCATATACTGACGTCACATGTGACCTACTCAACTCTACTTCACCTGCCCAGTGTCCCGCCAAGTCTCAGACAACATGTTTTTATCGTTTAAAAAACGATTCCAGCCGAGCATGTCTCTGACCACACTATCCTTTCATATGGTTAGGACAAAGAAACAGATGAACTCTACTTCACCTGCCCTGTATCCTGCCAAGTTCAGATAGGCAACTTTATCATTAACATCTAAAAAAAAAATTGAAAAAAAAATATCATTGACATATTGGTCTAGAACCTGTACCACTCGCATGAGAGCGGACTACGCTACAAACTTAGCTATTTACTCGTGACGTCACAAATGAATTTTTATACTATACTTTGATGCAACTTGATTTCGAGCGTCTAGTCTAGAAGTAGTAACTTTCAAATTAAATTTTATCTTAAATTAGCCAAACAAAGATTTATATAAAATAATTTAGGCCTGAAATAGATTCTAGATGTATTAAGGCCTGAAATAGATTCTAGATGTAGAATTTACATTAAGTCTAGATTTAGAATTTACATTGAGTTTAGTGATCTAGATCTAGGCTAGATTCATAAATTTCCTTCGACAGCTGATCTTTAGATCTAGAGAAATTTATTGTAAAACTAAATGAAAAAAGACAGTTGAAAATTGATATAAGTGTTGGAACGTAATAAATACAGCAAACGGACGTATTGTTAAAGTTATGACCGACAGAAAATTAGATTTAGAACGCGTTAAACTTTGGAATGGGAACACAATTTTCTTCGATAGACGCCGCCATTTTATTGTACTAATTTAACTAAAGAGTCAACAAAAAACTCTGACGTCACTATCAAGGGACGTCACTATCCCCACAAAGTTTATTCAAAGTATTAACATTTTTAAAAAAATACGGTTAATTTAACAATGAATAAATCAATAAATTAATTAACGTCTTTTAATAAATTTGTGATTAACAGTCTGTCTGCATTAAAAAATTATTCTCTACCTACATACTATTTTACAGCGCTCCAGATAGAGCCGAACATATCAGGATACTTGATCAGGCAAACAAACAAAAAAACAAACAAACAAAAAAATAAATATTCAAACATGTAAACAAACTTGACTTTTAGTAGTATATAGATAAGGAACTTGCGCTTAAATGTCACTAGACTTTTTAATTAACTTGTTTTCTTAAAAGAATGTAAGCATTGCATGGAAACAAACTTTTTTTCCTACCAATTTTTTTTTAAACTCTCAACCTTGACTGCTGATAGTAATTTTTTTTTTATTTACTTACGTTTGTGCATAGAATGTAAGCATTCCATTTGTTTTACCATCCCTGCAAATTGCTTTTGTTGTCATATCCCAACGGGTAAAGTACACCTATAGAAACCCCGTCTAGACAGGCCACAAGCAAACAAAACCTACACCTCCGACACCTGCATGCCACTAGCCCGTCTCATGATAATCCACCTACCAAACGGATTATCTTTCTCTAAAAAATCTGGACAAACATTCTCTTCAAACATGCATCTGGCTGGCGTTTGGGCTAAAAACCAATACACGTTTCTTTTGTTTTTAATGTTACATAAGCTAAGGTCTTGGGTAAGATGCAACACTTGACTTTTAATGTTTTTAGAAGTTAACTATAATTTTTTGTGTACTAACAACAGTGGGGGATATTTAGTTAAAAAAAAAATGCATACAGTGTACAAATTAATTTTTCTTTTAATTGTGAATTTCTGTAAGTTAATATTATATACCTTTAATAATGTTAAATTTTAACTAAGTTTTTAAAAAAGCGAATTTCAAAATATTAATATGGCTTTTATTTGTTTTATTATTTACTGTTTACATTGTATTTTTTTTTAAACCAACTTCACGTACCTATATTCAATTTCGAAAAACATTACGAACTAAGAGTACCAATCAGTATTTTTTTATTTAAATAGCAATTAAAATATCTGTTGTTCTCAATAAATGTTTAACAAAAACAAATGTTTTCTAACACTAACCCAAAGTTCCACCGTGCCGATGTGACCGCAGCTCAAGAAAAAATGACGGTGGCCTTTTCAGCGGTGGCGGAATTTTAAGCGGCGGCAGTGGCGGAATTTTCGGCGGTGGTGGTAATGGCGGCAGCGACCTGTTCCAGACGCTGATACTCCTCAGACTCCTCTCCAGCGCCACCACCAACACCGTGGCGACAACAACCCTACCAGCCACCACCAGCCAAACTCTGACATTTACCAACAATATCTTCAGGACTGCCAGTGGCGCCATCGTCTCACAGTTCTTGTATCCTGCGACCCTTCAGCCTGTTGATCCTGCCAATATCATCGCCGACCCTCTTACAGGTGTTACCTTACATCTTACATTAATTATACATATGTTGTTATATTTTTTTTAAAGAAAACACGCCTTGCGTACATATGTTGATAATACGGAAGTGGTGTCATGTAAATCAATATTGTTGTAAATTTATGTTCATTAGACGTAAATCGAAGTTTATGGCCAGGAATTTGGTATTAATGTCATGTTGTTTGATGTTTATATTTCGAAATTAGATGTTGATGTCACAAAGTTTGATGTTCTTGTCACGAAATTTGATGTTGTTGTCACAAAATTTGATGTTTATGTCACAAAATTTGATGTTAGTGTCACAAAATTTGATGTTTATGTCACAAAATTTGATGTTGTCACGAAATTTGATGTTGACGTCACGAAATTTGATGTTGTTGTCACAAAATTTGATGTTGATATCACAAAATTGGATGTTGTTGTCACGAAATTCGATGTTGATGTCAAAAAATTCGATGTTAATGTCACAAAATTTGATGTTGATGTCACAACATTTGATGTTGATGTCACAAAATTTGATGTTGATGTCACAACATTTGATGTTGATGTCACAAAATTTGATGTTAATGTCACCAAATTTGATGTTGATGTCACAAAATTTGATGTTGATATCACAAATTTTGATGTTGATGTCACAAAATTTGATTTTGTTGTCACAAATTTTGATGTTGATGTCACAAAATTTGATGTTGTCACGAAATTTGATGTTGATGTCACGAAATTTGATGTTGTTGTCACAAAATTTGATGTTGATATCACAAAATTGGATGTTGTTGTCACGAAATTCGATGTTGATGTCAAAAAATTCGATGTTAATGTCACAAAATTTGATGTTGATGTCACAACATTTGATGTTGATGTCAAAAAATTTGATGTTGATGTCACAACATTTGATGTTGATGTCACAAAATTTGATGTTAATGTCACCAAATTTGATGTTGATGTCACAAAATTTGATGTTGATATCACAAATTTTGATGTTGATGTCACAAAATTTGATTTTGTTGTCACAAATTTTGATGTTGATATCACAAAATTTGACTTTGTTGTCACAAATTTTGAAATTGATGTCACAAAATTTCATTTTGTTGTCACAAAATTTGATGTTGATGACACACAATTTGATGTTGTCACGAAATTTAATGTTGTTGTCACAAAATTTGATGTTGATATCACAAAATTGGATGTTGTTGTCACAAAATTTGATGTTGATGTCACAACATTTGATGTTGATATCACAAAATTGGATGTTGATGTCACAACATTTGATGTTGATGTCACAAAATTTGATGTTAATGTCACAAAATTTGATGTTGATGTCACAAAATTTGATGTTGATATCACAAAATTTGATGTTGATGTCACAACATTTGATGTTGATGTCACAAAATTTGATGTTGATGTCACAACATTTGATGTTGATGTCACAAAATTTGATGTTAATGTCACAAAATTTGATGTTGATGTCACAAAATTTGATGTTGATATCACAAATTTTGATGTTGATGTCACAAAATTTGTTTTTGTTGTCACAAATTTTGATGTTGATGTCACAAAATTTCATTTTGTTGTCACAAAATTTGATGTTGATGTCACAAAATTTGATGTTGTCACGAAATTTGATGTTGTTGTCACAAAATTTGATGTTGATGTCACAACATTTGATGTTGATGTCACAAAATTTGATGTTGATATCACAAATTTTGATGTTGATGTCACAAAATTTGATTTTGTTGTCACAAAATTTGATGTTGATGTCACAAAATTTGATGTTAATGTCACAAAATTTGATGTTGTCATGCAGGGTTTGTCTACGACAGCTCCACCAACAAGGTTGTGGTGTACCGTGATCCGACCACAGGTGTCCTGGCTCAAGCTTTTGTGACACCAGCAGCCACAGGTAATTTAACCGATAGCCACAGGTAACTTAACCAACAGCCACAGGTAATTTAACCGATAGCCACAGGTAACTTAACCAAAACCCACAGGTAATTTAACCAAAAACTACAGGTAATTTAACCGATAGCCACAGGTAACTTAACCAAAACCCACAGGTAATTTAACCAACAGTTACAGGTAATTGAACCAACAGAAACATGTATTTATTCAACAGCCAGAGGTAACTTAACCTAAAGCCACAGTTAATTTAAGCAATAGCTCTAGGTACTTTATTATTCAGGATTGCCTGCTGATAATCAAGCTAATACTATGGTTATGACCTTTAAAGTTTTGTTGATTCATCAGCACAAGTGAAATCATGAGTGATCAAGGAAACAAAGATTTTGACAATTAGCCAAAATCTTTAATGTTTCAATCATAATAAATAAAATTATTCTTCTGAACAATGTGCTATCAACCTTGCTTGGGCCCAGAATGTAATGATGTTTAAATCATAATTTTCGTTTTAAATTCGTACTTAATATAACACTTGTAATTTTATAAAGGCAGAAGTTTAGCAGGAGCGGGATCTACAGGAGGAAGGGCTTTGTACGTCGGACCACCTATATCAAACACAGGTAATATATTAAAGTGAATATATTTTTATATGAACAACATATAGACAGTTAATATTCCGCGTTGAACATACTAAGCGTTTACTAATACTTTCCGTTAGAATTTGCGAAAAATAAAGTTATTTTAACTTTTAAGTTTTTTTTAGAAGCTAAATTATAAATTTTATGCTCATATAATATCCTCACAACAAAAACTGCCTTTTAGTGATACGTAAGTTTTATATTCGTTAAAATTAAACCGACTAGGAATCTATTAATAAAGCATCTATAAGTAACTTTAAAAACCATACGAGGATTTATTTTAAAATATAAAAATGTGTATGTTCTCATGTACAGTAACAAGCTATTTATACCAACATTAAACATGTGCTAATGTTTCTGTATGTATTAAGGTAAATTCATTTCAAATCTTAAAAAAATATTTAATCTGATTTAAAATCCAGGTACAACAGCAAGTGGCAAAGACGTGAACGTCATCTTCGTGGGTCCACCTGGTGGTGGCTCCCCGTCGAAATCTATTGTCAAATGTAAGTCGGGATATAATTCTACATGTTTTACTTTCTCGTATACAGAGTATAGAGAAAGTGTTATAATCGTGCACAAAAATCACATGAAATTTTGACAGTTTTCACAGTTTTACACCTCAGTCCTTTATCACAGTATAGAGCACTTATTTTAATCGGGCAAAAATTATAAATCCAGATATATCAAAATGTTGGCGTTTTATGTTTTATCGTGTCGCGAAAAAACTGGACGATAACTTAAAGCACCGTTATAGCTAGGTAGATGAAATTTTATATAAAAGTATTATATCAAATGTGTAGATCCGTATCAACTTTTTCAGCGATTTCCGATAACCGGAAGTGGAACTTATTTCTACTTTCAATTTTTTAAAAGCCTATAACTTGAGTGCTATTTCAGAGAGATATATGAAATTTCACAAGTAAGAAACAGATCTAATGTTATGCCTTCTGACAAATTCTGAGTAATTTCTTTTGACAGAAAGTAGTAATTTACGCTATTTCCGATTTCTCACTAATACGCATGTGAATTTATAAAGTACTAATAATATTCCGCACTATTATACACATTTTGTTTGGCTTCACTATTTGTGCAATTCCTTCGTTCTACAATATTTTATTCTATTTTAAAAAGTTTAAGTATTCAAATGGATTAAAAATCATGTCTATATCCCGTTGCCATTCCCTGTTGTTTTATAAAAGAATTTTCGACAAAGTTTAGGGGAGGTCACTCCTGGTTTATTATTTTTGGGGTTATGCCCACCATAATGATACTCACATCATAACACGTTTATATCATCAAACTAATCAGAGTTTATTATGTAAAATAGAGAAAACGAAAAGGCAAACTCTCCATTGCTTTTCAATAGTTGGTTGTTGTTTTTTTTAAAAATATATATTTTATTCCATAAAAAAAGAAAAAAGTAGAAAAGTAAAAGAAAAAGTATTGTAACTTATAGTGATCTGTGTGGTGGGGGAAGAAAAGCCGACATGCAGTTATCAAACCAATATCTTCGTTAGACTGTTTCAGTCCACACTTTGTCAGTCAGTCGGAGTTCACTGTATCTAGACCTGCCTGGCTAATGGGAGTCCAACTCCTGAGCCGGTATATCCGTGTCACGATAGTGATCTATGCAAACATTTTATGTATAATCAAAACACGTAAGCACAAGATAAAATTATGGATGATCTAGTATCAATAAAAGATAGACAAATGATTGAACAAAACACAAGAAACTACAATTTACTCATTATAAAATGTTTACCGTCTAATGGCCAATAAAAAAATCAAGTCATGGCTATTTTTTTTTTAATTTGTCAAAATCTTTACAATATCTAGTTTAAGACTTCTTTATTTTATGCCGTATACCATGAAAACGTTAACAGCTACTTTTACTATGTCGTATTAGAAACAACTGAAATGTTTAAATTTAAAATCATTTCGTTATTCCCTAACATTCGGGAGCAAGTAAAGCGCCAATGATAAAAAAAAACCACTTTAACACAACTGATAGGAAACTAGACAGTCTTTTGGCGTATTTAAAAGTATTGTAATAGGTGAGTTGAAGAATGCTATTGGTTGCAGACGTTACAAAATAAATTACCTACCAAGAACTATTTTTACAATATTCTCATTTTAGCACTAGGTTAGCGTTAATTTGTCTGCACATTAAAGTCAACCTAGCCCTATATAGTCACAATAATCTACTTGTGTTTGAATTAACTCCCTTATACTGTCCCGTTTCTGACTAACAGAGTACTCATTTGTTTTGCAAGGTGCCGGCAACAACGACGGCGGCCTACTGACGACACTTTTGCTGATGAGTCTTCTGACGGGGAGTACGGACACCAACGACGCCACACAACCTGTGCCGCCACCGAATATAAATCTTCAGGGCAATGACTTTATACCTGTAGGTGGAGGTAATCCGATTACAGAATTTTATGACCCATTCACTGACGTCAGAGTTAATCAAGAGAACCTGATACTGGATTCCCCTTCAGGTAAGCTTATACTAACCGTTTTTGCTTAAATACTACAGTTTAGTAGGAATTATCTCTAAGTGAGTCATCATTTTTGGTTAGCTCTGACTAAAATCATGCGTTAATGATTGATCTAAAACAGATCTTATTTTAACCCCTTCAATTGTTTTCATAACTTATTGTATTTTTTTATTGTATTCAACAATAATCTCTAGCAACGCACCTAAAAATAATACATTTTTTTTTATCTAAACAGAGAAAACATAATTCCGATCGTTGCTTTAGCTTTAGCCTAAAAATTCTAGGTTAGCAATAATACTAACGACTTAAAGTTGAATTCATAAGCGCAGCCATTGTTGTATTTTCGTTTCATAAGATATAAACTATTTTCATTTTGTATAAACATTGTCCTTACGTTTAACATGGAAAATATAACAGCTTTATTGAAGGGACGGGTTCTGTGATTTTGAGTAACAATACTACAAAGACTTCAATTGCGTGTGTTACCTTTTACGATAATGTAATTATGTTCCAAATTAAGTAGCGTGTATAAGGAAAATACGTAAAAACTTAAATCTCAATGTTGAAGTCGATGAGTGTGAATGTGTTGATTACGTACACTACATGAAAGACCACAATTTATAATTTCACTTTAAGAATGAGACTGGTGGTACCCTATCCTTAATTTCAAAGCCGTCACAACACACAATACATTTTCAGATACATTGTCACACACTGCGCACTTGTTAAGTGCTTGTAAGTAACTTTGTTACTACAAGGTGCTCTGCACTGATGTACGTAGAAGTATGTCTTTTTGTGTTCAGGAAAATAGTATTTACTTTAGAACGGCATCCTGTATTCACCAGGTTTTCTCTACGATTCCACTACGAATAGACCGGTTTACTTCATTGACAGAAACGGCAACAAAGTACAGGCAATAGCAAACAACACTGGTAAGTTAAAGAACTTTCTAGAAAATGTTCAGCAAATGTTAAATAAAGCTAATAATTGAATCGTTGTCCACGCATATACGTTTCAAATCAGGCGTGTAAACACAATCTAATGATCAAATATAATATAACACGCAATTTGTAATATTTATACGGAGTCACTTACTTCCGTTTCAAAGTAAATTGAACGTATACGAAATCTGCAGTCCGTGTTTACGATAAATGATCTGTCAGAAAGATTATGAAGATTATGTGTTAGAGTCGTATCGGAAACCATTGGAACTGTAATTTTTTACTTCCAACTTAAGTCCTTGCCACTCTTTCAAACAGGGAAAAGAAAGTCTTAATTTATCTTGATCTTTATATTCTATTAACGCATTACTAGCCTCTGCTATTAGTGAATCTATAAGAGAACTCCCATTAACAATAATAAGTATACCCCATTTTAACCTTTAGAGATATAATCGATAATTTGAAATACAACTTACACTCAACGAACAGGTACAGCTAGTGGACGAAGCTTCTTATCTTCGATACAGAGAAGGTTAAGAGAGGAGTTGGGGCGTACATCGACCACACCCACGCCAACATTACCCACACCAACATTTAGTGGATAAATATTGATGTCTACATTTGACTGTACAGTTTTCATGAATGCTTACATGCTTCTCAGATGTGTTATAAAAATTTTATTTAAATAACATGTGAAACTCACAAAGTGAATTTGACATAATTGTTTAAACTCTTATTATCTAAAACATGTATCTAGACATCATTTCTAATCTTATTCTGTTGAGTAATGTTAAACATACATCTGTATTAAATGTGTAATCTCATATTCCTAATAAAAAAATATAATTTGTAAACATGTTTATTTTTAAAATTTGAAGCATTATCAAAATGAAATTTAAGACATTTATTTGTATTCTAATAGACATAAGATTGAACTCAAGTAATTTATAAACGTGTTTTTTTTTTATAATGCGGTGTATTTAACCCTATCTCTGATTTGTTACATATGGTGAAACCAAAATTCTTATTGAGTGATGCATATCTTTACTGTGTGGCATTTCTCAACACATAATGAGTGAGTTTTCGGGTTTGGAGGAAATGTCGAAAGGGGTTAACGTTTGATAAACAAATGTTTACTTCTTTCGGATATATTGAAATGCCACAAAAATGAACTTATGGTCCATTTTTGTGTGAAGTCATTCTGGGACTTTGAAACTTGAGTTAAATGAGTCACACAGGAGATGTCGCAGAGTTACAAGACAAAACTTTTTTATTGTCAAATCTAATCTTTTATGTTTTCCCTACAGCACAAAA